TGTTTCAATTGTTTTATTAATAAAAAACTTTTTTTTTTTTTTAAAAAAAGATAGTTTTATCACTTGTCAATTGCATCCATATTTTTCCACTCTGGCCAATTTCTTGCCAAGTAAGACAACATTTTCTCAGTAGGCGTAAGGTCAGGTAGGATGACTTACTCAAGTGGTGGATTTCTAGTCCCATTGAAGAAGGTTCAGTAAGGTGTTTAATCCCCGAGAAAGAATCAGAATGTTTCTCTTGTTCAGATCCTTTGCACTGAAAGAGGGCTATACCATACTAAAAATCTAAACCTGCTCTATTTCTCACAAACTGAGTTAAAACTGAAGCCCTGGATAAGGTGTTTATGTTGGGCAGAGACGGGGCCATTGACTTCAAGATATGGTTGCAGATACTAGTTTTCATCATAATATGTGACCCGTTGTCAAGATAATCAAGAAGCAGAAGACAATAGCAAACTTGCATAGTTTGAATCTTCAATCTAAAAATTCCCTTAAGCCAAGATCAGCTCCTGAGGACTATCTGGATCTGTGTTTCTCAACCTTGGCAGCTTGAAGATGTGTGGATATGCTGGCTGGGGAATTCTGGAAGTTGACGTTCACACATACTGACCTGGACGGATCAATTATTTTTCATGACAGCAATACAAAAGTGGTTTATCAATGTCTTCTTCCAGATGTTTCTTTCTCTTCCTCATCCCTGCAATTTCTTCTTGGTTTCTTCTCATCTTCATTCAAGAACTGGTCTTTTTATCATTTCGGGATTGGCCAAAATGATAAATTTAATAGGAAATTTAAAATCAAAATAATACATGGTTTCTCAACCTTGGCAACTTGAAGATGTGTCGACTCCAATTCGCCAGCCAGCATTCCTCAGCCAGCCAACTCCCAGTATTCCTCATGGTTTTCTGGGGAATTCTAGGAGTTGAAGTCCACACATCTTCAAGCTGCCAAGGTTGAGAAACAGTGCTGTAGTAGGGTATAAATTTTTGAAGACGAAAAAAACACGCCATAGTGAATTTCAAAAATGTAGTTATGGTCAGTCAGATTTTCTTTCCTGTCCTGAGAACATTGATATAGCAGAGATCAAACCAAAACATGCATTCTTAGTTAGATCTAGGCTACTAAAAATGTAACTGTGTAACAGATTCCTTGATTTATCTAATCATTAATTTTGTACCGGCATCAAACATTAAATCAGCTTTCTCCAGCTGGTGGTCTCCATGTTTGACTATGACTTCCATAATTTTCAGTCAGCACTGGAAAGACGGTATTTATAATCAAACACATCTGAAAGAGACTAACTGTGTGTTTGAGGGTGACTATATGGTACATGCAGATCAGTGGGATAAATTTATGGAATGAAATCTCTTGTTTTTCCCAAGAAAACTACAAAGCACCAAAGAAATTGCAAACCACCTGTATTAGAAGAGCTAACAGTTTTAAAGCTGTTTCCAGAGCCATCTTGTTCAAAATTCCAGGGGATTCTCCAACCATTTAGAATAGATTTTTAGGATATTTTTAAGACATATATTGTTTTTCTGGTTGTTGTTGTTTTTGCACCAAAACTGTATCACTTTGCAATTGGACTCCCAGGTATCAGGTCTAATTCAAGATTTTGCCTATCGATAGTTAGATATTATCCTGCATGAGTAAATAGCAGCTTTTCCAATAAGAGAAACTTAAAATATAAGTGTAACATTTAGCACAAACTATCCATTATAAATATCTTCATCTAATAAACACCAGTCTCTTTGATGCTCTCAGTAAATGCAATAATTTGGTTTTCAGATATTTATTACAAAGAAACATTTGGTAGGTGCTATCCAGGCTTTTAAAAAGTCTCAGATTACTTTAGCTGACTTTGTAATGAGTAACATATTGAATAGAAAGTCAAAAATGTATTCACTGGCAAATACAGCAAGGACATTGGAATCTTGACCACAATCCAGATAGGACAGTTAAAATTTCTAGGGCTATGCAAAGCTTTGAAAGAGCAGTTGAACTGAAATATCCTTGTGAGGCTTAGCATGGTAGAACCTCATTCAAGCAGATGCATTTTAACTTTCTGCACCTGAAAAAGTCCACTTGACTGGGGGCCACAATCAAGGTTTCAGTGATATCCTCCATGTGCTCTACAGCAGGGGGGGGGGTGTCTCCAAACTTGGCAACTTTAAGACTTGTGGACTTCAACTCCCAGAATTCTTTAGCCAGCTATGCTACCTGAGGAATTCTGGGAGTTGAAGTCCACAAGTCATAAAAGAGCCAAGGTTGCCTACCCCTGATCTAGAGATTATCTTTCCACTGGGATTTAAATGTTAACTAAAATGCCTACCCATGGCAGGTTGAGGGAAGTTAAAGAAGTTAAAGATAATAGATAAGTGGATGAAATGATCAGGGATAACTGAAATGCCCCTTCAGAACTTTGAGATTGCCACTAGGGATTAGTCAAAATGGAGGACATTTGCCCATATGATCATCAAGGCCAGACTTGATTCAATGACACTAAAACTAATATATAAGACTGCACCTGGTACAAAACAGGAAACACATTTGTCAATAAGTTAGATTTATCTGTCAATAAGTTAGATACCTTATCATACTTTACAACTGAAATACTATTTTAGTCGAAGGATGTGTATTAATTCTTACTTGATTTTCCTATATATATAATACATAGTATTTATATTATGTAGAAATTGTCTACTTGTGAGTGCTGGAAAATATACTCACATTTTCTATCCACAAAGGCAATTCCTACTTTACTGAATTTTGTAAAAGAGCTCCAAATACAGGTGGGTCCTTGACATGCAACCGAAGTGGAGCC